AACCTCTAAAATTTGTAGAAAACGTCAACATCTAAAAAAGAAAAAGACAAATCATCCAATTTTTAAAATGGGCACAGTACATGAACAAACATATCGCCAGAGAAGATATTCAGGTTGTCAACAAACACATGAAGAGATGCGTGAAGTCATTAACAATTAGAGAGATACAAATCAAAAACAATAATGAAATATCATCTCATACCAGCATTAGTAGCAAATTTCAAGAAAACAAATTCTGATGAGGTTGTTGAGAGACTGGCACCCTCAAACATTGTTGGTGGGATTGTTAAATGGTACAACTACAGTGGAAAACAGTACGGTGCTTCTTTTAAAAGTTGCATATAGAAATACCATATGATCCAGCAATCCTACTACTGGGTATGTATTGTAGATAAATAAGAGTCGTGGAATGAATAGATGTCATAAGATGTTTATCACTGCACTGTTCACAATTGTAAACAATGAAAACCTAAAATATCCATCAATAAAAGAATAGATTAACAAACAATGGTGCATACACAAAATGGAATACTATTCAAGATTAAAGAGTAAAGCTCAGTCTGCAAAACGTCTCATAAAATGGATCATAACGCTGAGTAAAATAAGACAATCACAAAAGGAGAAATATTGTATGAAACCACTATTATAAAAAGTCAAAAAAAAAGATTTTCACACAAAAAGAAATGTTATTGATGGGTAACAGAGATGGGAAGGTAAGAAAGGGCAAACCACTAACTAGAGGGTTGTGGTTGTTAGGCACCATCAAGTTGGTACCAACTCAAAGTGACCTTATGCACAACAGAAAAAAACACTGCCTGGTCCTGTGCCAATCTCACAATCATTGCTACATTTGAGCCCATCGCTGCTGTCACTGTGCCAATCCATCTCATTGGAATCTTCCTCTTTTTCACTGACCCCCTACATTACCAAGCATGATGTCCTTCTCCAGGGACTGGTCCTTCCTGATAATATGTCCGAGTATGAAAAATGAAGTCTGGCCATCCTGGCTTCTAAGGAACATTCTGACAGTACTTCGTCCAACACAGAT